TTTGGCATCCTCCCTCAGCAGGGCTGTGGGGAGAGGGTGAGGAGGGGATGGGAGGGTCTGGGGACCAGGCGTTAGGTTTCATTTTTATGGTTTGATAATCCTTAGAGTCAGGGAAGTCCAGGTTCAGTTTGAGGAGCAGGGGTGTGTGGGCGTCACTGGGAGCTGTGGGTTGGGGGAGATGACCCAGGGCTCTGGTGGACAAAGGAGAGACCGCCACTTCAGACGTGGGGAAGAAGAGCCAGCGAAGGAGACAAGGAGGGGCAGGCGCCCCAGCACCATAAGGCTCTCCCTTGACTAGAATTTGTCCCAGTCCCCGCTGAGGCGCTGTCACTGGGGCGCTACAATGCATTCCCTCTTCCTCTCTTAATGCTAATTCCCGGTGGGTGACCCTGGGCGCGCGCTCCAAGGAAAGAGTTCCTAACCCGGCAAAGCACCGGGTGTACTGCGCACTTGCCGGGCAGAGACCGCCTGGCTTCCCGAAGATTCCTCAGGCCAGCGAGAGGATATTTCTCAACGCTTTCCAAATAGAAAAGTAACTCGGGTAATAAATTTTCAGACATACCAAGCACAGGAAGGGAACAAAACCTTTCTCCCAGATTTAAACTTACGGAAATTGGGCAAAGCAAAAATGGATAAGGAATCCAAGTGAAAATGGGTAAGGAACACTCAGAAGCATTCCCACTGGGGGAACGAAAAGGGGACCCAGACGCAAAACGATGCAAACGAAGCAGCGTGCGCAGAGCGTTTTCCGCTACCTGCCCGTCCGCACCCTTCCTAGGGACAGAGCATTGTCTAACCGCCAGTAATGTGTGTGAAGGAGCAGATGCCACCGGGCCAGACCCGAATGGGATAAGGGGGTGTGAGCAGCCACCCTGGACTCCTTCCTTCTTGTGGAGGCCGCGCCGTGCGATCTCAGGGACTCCGTTCCACGGGCGCTGCTTTCCACCTCCACGGCCTCGTCCACACTCGTACTGGAGGGCGAACTGTTGCTAGTCAGGGCCCCTCGGAAAGCGAGCCGGCCTCGTGTTACGGATTTCTGTTTCGCACGTTCACGCTCACACACGGAGACCAGGGAAGGGACAAGGACAACTTGAGATAGAGAATCAGATTCAACATCCACGTGTATTTGCCGGTAGGAAAGTGCTCTTGACAGGCACACTAGTATGAGAGTTCTCCCCACTGCAGGGCAGAGAGGACATTGAGACTCTCTTGTGTTAAAACATCGTGATCACCAGTGATCGGAGTAGATTGGGGTAGCGCCACCCCTTTCAAAATGGCCTTTCCCTCCCAGAACACAGGTCGGCTTCACCTCATTATCAGGGCAAAGAAATGCACAAAGGACAGCCAGAAAGTTTAATCACCCCCCATATCTTATTTGAAAAGAAATGAGCTTGGTTGAGCTTAGGAAAGCCCTTCTGTCTGGTGTTCTATGAGTTTCCAGGGGTCCCCCCCTATCCCGTGGGACTGGAGTGGGAAGGCGGGGCCCAAGGACTGCACCCCGTGGAGCGACCTCCGGCCCCCAGCTGGGCTGGGCTGACCCACCCGCGGGCTGTGGGAATGCGGACAGTCTTCGGCCCAAAACATTCCAAACGTGGGTGCAGATTGTCCTGGTGTGGTGTGAACTTGGTTGTTTCAGTTTAGATCTGAGATTGTCCCCTTTTGGACAAACTTTGGTAAACTGGTACATTTCTAAAAAAAAGGGATCCTGTCGTGGAGAGAACTGTGTAAAAAGCATTTGAGGTTTGCTGACTCCATTGGAAATCTCACCAGATTTCCCCAGGTATATAACTTCACAACAGAACCTGTCTTTGAGCTTCCCAGCCTCTGCTTGCAAAGGGACAAACATCTCAAAGCAGCTGGAAGCAGCGCAGCTGCGGTGGGCGTTGAAACGGACGGAAACCTCTCGGGTCAGCGTCTCCAGACTACTGTGCTCCGAGAGGGCCACAGCCCACACCGGAGCTTCTCCAAGATCCCGTTTAAGTAAACCTCAGAAGGATTTGAGGATTTCTTTGTTTGTTTAAGAATCTTCAGTTTAAATAATGCCATCCCCAAGCACACCGCTGTTGCCCAGGGTTCTCCAGCTTCAAGATTCTGCCTGAAGTGTTGCGGGTGTCGCTGGCCCAGGAAAACTGCACTGTCCTTCCAATGGGATGGGAATGGAAGGTGCGAGCAGATGATGGAGTGGCTGCCGAGGGGACTTCTGAGGACAGGTGGGCCTCTGCCAGAACTGCTGTCTTTCTCATCAGAGCCAAGACGAGCGCCTGCCAGGGGCCAGGCAGCAGGGACCTTAGCAGACACGGTGAGAACCCCTCTGCTCCAAGCGCCAGGCTGGCCGCTTTTGTGGGGCCTCTCCACCAGCTCCCCTCACTCCCATCCATCCCACTGGGCTCCCTCAGAGTCCTGTCCTCACATGTGTCTTTTCTGGGGTGCCACAGCAAACCCCCAAGGGAGACATTCCCAAGCCCAGTGAGGGTGTGGCCAGGGACTGGAGTTACAGAGTCTCCATAACTTGCCCAAGAGCACATGGCAGCTGTTCAGTGGACAGAGACTTCCACGCTGGCTCTGCCTGGTCCCCACGCCTGGACTCCAGCCCTGTGCCCCTCCCTGCGTGGGTCACGTGGTCCTGGCAGCGACCCCAGGGGGCAGGGACTGTCATAGGGAAGGAACCGGAGTTCAAGTGACTTGCTCCGGCTCCGAAACTCCTGAGTCACAGGCTCCAGGTCCCACCCAGATAACCAACACATGGCAGGTGGCTTCAAGCAAACACAACCCACTCATACCAGACAGGAAACCCCTGCCTCCCACAGGGGCTGGATGTTTCCTCTTTTCCTCCCCGCATTTCCTGCCATCCCTCTGAAAGGGGGTTTGAGTATGAAAACCCAGCAGGGGAAGAGCTGTTCTTGTTCTGATCAGACAGTATCTGGGAGAAGACGACAGATCTGGGTTGGAGAAGGCCCACGAAGCAGGCCACTCCCGCTCCTGCACTGGCGAAGCCACATGCGTCTTTAAAAGGCCGCCAGGAGACATGGCACTGCCGATGCGGTCACTGGGGTTTCCCGCACAATCATCCGTCGTGAGCAAGGACCTCAGGGTTGCCTCGTAGGAAGCACTGTGCGGCTTGGAGGTTGGCCGGGGTGGGACGGACTGGTGGTCGACCTGTCGTTCGTCTGGGCATCGGAGGGCCGGCAGGTATGCGGAACTGCCCCGGGCGCCTCAGCCAGCTCACCTGTGGCCCATTCCTGCCGGCCGGCATCAGCCTGGTTAAATGGCTGGCCCGAGGCAGCAAGACGGAGAGCAGCAGAGCTGGAAAATGAACGGAGGCATTTCGGCTCCAAACCAGAGTTAGGGCTGTCGGCTAAGTGTGTGTGTGTGTGTGTGGGAGGATCTTCTCACTCCTGCCCTGGGCAGCTGGTGTGAGCGTGACCCAGAGCCAGAGGCCCAGCCTGCTTCTCTGAGCCCTAACTGAGCCGTGTGGGTGATTCCAGTAGGAACTTCCAGGTGTGCCCATGAGCCACCATCTTCCCAGTCGTACCATGGACACTGGTGTCCCCTTGAACACACTGCCAATGCCAGGACAAGGGCTTCGTGGTGCAAGCGAACATGGCAGTTTAGAGGAAAACCTGCCGAAGCCCGTTGATGCTGGCTGCCCGCTGTGTCTTCTCAGGACGCTGTACGTGAAAGCCAATTTGTCTGTCTGACCCGGTCCTGCGTCCCCAGTCACCCTGAGAAATGCCCGCACAAACCACGTGGCGGCAGCTACCAGGAGGCTGCTAGGCTTCCCCGCTGCGCCGGGCGTCCAGGAAGATGACTAATGAGCCAGTCTGCGAGCGCGGTGTTTGCCTTCGGAGACTGGTGTCTGAACAATTGGTGACAATAATCTCTAGGCCGATGCTCAGTGCGTGGTGTGGGCATTTCGCTTCTTCACGCCTGTGCAGAAATGGCGCTCTGCTGTGGAATGAGCCATTTGGGCCGCGAGTCTCTCGGTGGTCGCGGTCTTCCTCGGTCCGCGGGGCCAGTGTCCCACCCCATGCAGCGGCCCGGGCTGAGTTTCAAAGGCCCCACACTCACTGTGTGGCCAGCTTGCACGGCCACTGCTGGGCAAGGGCCTTGGAGTCGGTCCTCTTTCCAGGCGCCTTTGTTCTTCCTCAGTCGAATGAAAAAGTGCGTGCTTTTTTTTTGTCTGATTTTTTATTATTTAGGCCTCAATAAAAATTCCAAATTCCCGCCATCAGACCCTCAGAGAGTTGCCATCCAACTCATGGTGGGGGGAGGCCAAGGGCAGGAGGACCACGGCCAAGGAGAAGAGTTGGACTCATTTCCGGGGTCCTCATTAAGATTAAGTAATTATACGCCATTTCCAAAAATGATTAAGCACCCTAGACGAACTGCTGGGTGACATTCTGTCACCAGCACACCAGGTCACGACGTGACAGGCCAGCATGGGCGGGACGAGCCTTCAGACAAGCACCCCTGAGAACTGTGCTCCCCAGGTCACCTTTCCCACGTAACCCTGCCCCCATCTCCCCTCCCCTGTCTCCCCTGCCCCTCCCCTCCCACCGATAACACGGAGAGCTCCCTCCCGAAAGCCCACAGCACTACAGTGGGAAACGTCAGTTGTGATCACAGCCGAGCCTCACCGAGGCCTGCTCGACTGTCCCCCTGTGACGGGGGTGCACACTCTCTGGTTTCATCGGCCCACGGCTGTGCGCGGCTGCCCAGAGGTGCTGCGGGGCCCCTGTTCTTCTCCCACCACAAACACCTGTTCAGCGGCCAGCACTGCCTCTCCCTCCCAGTCTCTGACATCACCCTCTGGGCAGGCAGACACAGCACGGCCGCTGCTGAGCCGCGTATGAAAATTGTAGTTTATTGTCTATACAACTGACGGCTGAATTCGGCCTCCTATTCTGTCCAAGCGGCATAAAGGGCCCGTTCTTCTCTCAGAACAAACCAGCACAGTACGCTATTGTGATCTGAGAAACAGACACTATTTATGTATCGGGAAGCCTTGCTGTGGACGGGGCGGGCATTCCGATGGCCCAAGAGCCCCGGCTGCAGCAGCTGGAGGAGGCGCGGAGGGTGCCCTGCGGCCGGTGGTGCGCACAGGTGGCGGGGACACGGAGGGGGCTCCTGGCCCTGCGGCCCCCGCCGTCAGTTCAGCAAGCAGGACTCGTAGGTGGGGACCATGTACTTGATGTTGATGAAGGCGTCTTCGCCGCCGTAGCGCTCCAGGGTCCCCAGCGTCTCCTGGATCAGGTCGCCCACGTTCTCCCTCTTCTGCTGGCTGTACTCAATGCCGTCCCCGGAGTTCACTGGTTCGGGAAAGACAGAGAGGCCCGTTACTGCTCTGCCGAGTCCCGGAAAGTCCTGCATGTCAGTCTGGGCCTTCCCTCTGCGTGCTTGTTAGGGGATCTGGGGTTTTTCGTGATCCTGCAGGGTTTCAGGGGTCGTGACAAATGTACAAAAGCACAAAGTCTCAGACTGGGGCTGAAGAAAACTCACCTGAACCAAAGAAAGAATAGGGTAAACCACAGGTGCAAACACAAGGCCCACGGGTCGAACCCGGCCCTTCGCCTCGTTTTATCTGGCCCGGCACCTGGTTTCCACCCGGCGGTGGTGCCGAGCTCTTGCTTAAGTGTTAAGGAGCAGTGACACGTACACAGCCCCAAATTACATGCAGCCCTTTGAAGGCCACCTCGAGGCTGCTGTGGCTGCCGGTGAAAATGGGTCTGATGCCCCTGGACTAACACAAAGTGAGGTCTTTGTGGCCACGGCCCAGATCTGACACTGACGAGGCTGCTGTCTTGGGCCATGAGTTCTTCAGAAGCCCAGCTGGGCACCTCGGGAAGGAGCGTTCTAGCCTCAGATCGGGGTGGGGGCCCCCGTGACCTCAACAGAGGTGCTTTGGAACGAGAGGCCATGCCATCCCATGACTTGGTTGCTTTTGTACATACTCGTAGCTCTTTCCCCGCAAGAGCCACTCACCCAAGCGCTCATTCTCTGGGGTCAGTCCCATCCCTGTGGATACAGGGGTGGGGGTGGGGGGGGCTAGGAGGGCCCTGCCTTTGCCTCTGTGACGGCTCCTGGTTGGTCCCTGAACATCCAGAGGACAGTCTTAGTGATGGTTTCACCGGGTTTCCTGGTGGCTTCAGAGTCTCTCTAAGTCCAGACAGGTGGGCAGCCCCGGTAGGTCACCTGGAGCACCCAAAGAAGGCTCTGCCACATAGGGCCTTGAAGTGACCACCACAGCCACTTCGGGCCTGGCCAGGCAGGAGTCCCAGGGCTGGCCTCTGGGGGCCCTGGGGACCTGAGTCAGACGTCTCCCGGCCCAGGGAAACGTTTGGAGGAATCACCCAAGTGCTCAGGCATTGCACAAACATGGGAGACCTTTGCTTTAACCCAGAGAAGAAAAATGTCATGGTTTTCCCTCTAGTAACAGTCATTATGTGCTACACATCACCCATCGGTTTCCAAGGACGTCAGTGACATTTACCCTCCCAGGGAGTGACCTGTTACCCTGCTCTGCTGACGGCCCCCGTCTTATCTCTGAGGAGGGCCCTCAGGGCAGGACAGGCCCTCCAGGGACAGGCCAGGAGGGGCCTGTGGCCTTGAGGGTGCGCGTTCTACCAGATAAAGTGTTTTTTTTATTCATTTCCCAAACTCGGCTCCAGATGCTTGTCTTGCTCGGATGTGAAAATAAACGGAGGAAAACTAAAAGATTTCAGGCCTTTTACCCTAGATTTTTTTTTTTTTTTACTTTGGACATTTTAAAAAGATTGAGTAATAGTTCAGGCTGGAAATAAAAGTAACAACTACAATCCCACACAGCCTAGCTGAGCAGTTCTTTTGCTTGATCCTTTGCAGAAACTTATTAGAGAAAGATTGCTGTTTTCTACGGCAGAGAGGAAAGGAACGGGTCTCCCGAATGGTTCCTCTGGCTGGGGGTGAAGGCAGGCGGACTGGGTACCACTTTGCAGGAGGAGAAAGAGGTCATGAGTCGTACAGACATCACGCTCACCCGTCCCCATAACCAGAGAGGTCTGCACGGTCTGCAGAGCCACCGCAGTCGGGTGGGCTCGTCTCCCTCAGGGCGGAGCCTCTCTGCTGTCCCTGCAAAGTGGGGTGGGAATTACAGCTGGACTTACGGGGTGGTCAGTGACCTGAAATACTCGCATAGGACAGTGATAGAGCACAAACGAAAGAGGAGACGCTTGACTGAAAGGGTTTGTGCCTGACTGTTTTTGAGCCAAAGATACGTTTTTTAAAAACAGAAGCATCGAGAGTCCCTGCCCTGAGGGAGGGCAGTGTGGTACCATCCACGAGGGGGGACTTTCCAACAAGTGGTCTTTGGGTGGAATTAAGAAAGAAGAAGGCGCCTGTGTGTGTGTGGAAAGAAAACGTGTTCAGGAAGAAAGTCCAAGAAAGGGCAGGACAAAAGCAGCCAAAGTGTCAGAAGAAGGGGCAGGAGGGACAGGGACAGATGTCGTGTGCAATGAGGGAGACCCATCTAGGGGGACGCATCTGTTGGAAACAACTTCAGCGTCTCGGGATTCCAGTCGGAGGGGCTGACCTCTGAGAGCCCCTGCCCCCGTCCCCGGGAGACACTCCCTTGAAGTGGCTTAGGGGAAGGTGGCATGGCCCACGCGGGCACAGGACGGCCAAGCCCAGGGCGGCAGTGGGGAATGTAACTGGAGGTGGTGCTGGCTTGCAACGGGTTTGAACTGATTCCTGATGGACAGAGAGACATGGATTAATCACCAATAAATGGTGCCTTTTGTTGGTGTATTAGTCAAAAGGTCAAGAACTGAGTAGAGCATGGGACAGACATATTTTCCTGATGGAGGCAGAGGGGAGAGGGGGTGGCAGGCTCACACAAAGGAAAGCTCAGCCCACCCTGTTTTCCGCCACCTTCCAGAATGCTACAGAGACAAGGAGTGCTCTGTTTCAATAATAACCTATTCTTACTTTTTAAAAAATATGTCACTGTAGGAGTGAACAAACTATGTAGCTTTTTTGTCTTTCAACAGTGTATAAACCCAAATGATAAAAAGAACAGAACAGAATAGAAGTTGCTTATTCAAAAAATGAGTTGGAGTTGAAATATTTTGTGGTTGCAGAATATGTATCGCTCAGGCAGGAAAAAAAAAAAAAACCAACCCAGAGCAGGATCGCATTCCTTCCAGTGGCTGCTGTAACAGTGGCACGAACAGTTTAGTGGCCAACCCTGTGGTGAGGCAGGTGGGCCAGGCCCACAGCCGCACAGGGTCCATGTCTGAGAACCTGAACTTGAGGGGACTCACGTGAGCTCGCCATTTTAAATACTCGAAGTGCTGTTGGAAACACGCTGGGAGAGATCACATGCTTAAAAAGGGTTATTTACATTTGCCAATTCTGATGAGGAAGGTGACGTTTCAGTTTAGAGGCTGGAAGTCTACTTTGCGTCCAATGGCTAAAAAGATACATTGATGTTGAAAAAGATATGTTTTACTTACAACCCAACGGGCAGGACTGCAAGGAAGGGTCACAGTGCAAACACACAGAGCAGGAGGGGTTTCGGCGCCTGCGTGCAGGCGCCGTGCAACTGCTGTTCCGAGGTTGTTCCCAGTTAGGAAATGTTTTAAGTGCACTTTTTGTTATTCTCAATGTCGAAACTGTTCTTCATTATGCAGGCAATGCCTTTAACACACGTGTGCTCTTTTTCTACCTAACCTTCCCAGAACTGCCCCAACCTAGAGGCTGTCACTTGCTAGATGCCATTTCGATCTGAAGTGGAACATGTTGGGACACGTCCATGGCCCCCTCTGGGGGCGGACAGTGGTGTCCTCCTGGGCGTGAACTCAGCGCATGACTGGGAAGTGGCTGCCATCACACCTTGTTCCCAAGGGCTGCCTCGGGGATGAAAACAAAAACAAGAAGAAAATACTAGCTTGGGAAGCTCAGTGCAGCACCACCCGAGTGAATCGGGAAGGAGAAGGGATGACAGTGAAGAGTCGGTGCCAGTGTCCACCCGCACTGCGGACTAACTTTCGGGAGCCCCGATGGTACTCGCCATGCTCCACAGCAACGGTCCCTGTCACCTCTTCACTGCACAACAGCACATCGAACAACTGGAAATTCACCAACACCGACAGTCCCCACTGCCTGCCGTCACCGTGGCAGGGAGCCAGGCAGACCCAAGGCCGAGTCACAGTCAGAAAACCACGGCTTTGACCTCCGTTGCTGCTGAGGCCTCATGGCTTGGCCACACCCTTCCCGGCCCTGTCGGTGGTTCTCTGAAGGGTTGTCAAATATGACCACTCTGCGTACACTGTATTTGAACATGAACCCAGCCACAGCCAGCCAGAAGCTTTCTCGGGATGAGAAAGTCCACCGACACAAAGCAGCTGGCAGAGACCACACCGTCACCCCGTTTCCCCGGTGACAAATGGCTGGCGACCGGCTTGGAGTGCAGCGAGACCGGTCTCGCGGTGTGGGTGTGACCAGTGGGGCTGGGCAGTCCCTGGGAACCAGCCCCGGGTGGGGTGGCTGAAAATGCCAACAGAAGAAGCCACACCGTTTCCGGATCCGGGAGGCATCTTTGTTTTCCTCCAGTGCTGAGTTAAACAATTTCAGGAACTCGACAGACCAGCTGAAGGGTTACCTGTCGAGACCTGTAACCTTTGACGACATCAGCCACAGCCGAAGCTGCATTCTGGCCGGATGGGGCTCCCTGGGTGCCCTGGGGAGACAGAACGAGCCCTGGGGGCCGGGGCTCAGGTCCAGGCAGGAATGTGCAGGCGGAACCTACTGTGAATATTATTGTTACGCGGTGTCTCGTAATGCCATCAAACCCCGCAGACTCTGCTGCCGACTGAACAAATTCCCCCTCCGGGCTTGGTGGGTTTAGCAGCTGGAAGGCAGAGAGGAGTCACACAGTAATGCCGTGTCTGCACTTACTTCTAGTTAAGCGGAGCAGTCCGTTTTAGCAGAATAAACGAACATTTCCAAAAGACATTTATTAGAAAGATGACTCACTTAGAAAGTGTCATTAAAAAGATAACTCATCATATTCATAAGCTTAGAAATGGTTGCTTGTGAGCCTCGTCCCTTTTTAATCGGAATGCAGGAAGAGAGGAGAGAGACGCAGGTACATTTCTCTTTCAAGAAATTTTCAATTCAAGACCTAGATTAAATTGTCAACATTTGTTTTGCCAGAAGTGTCTGTTTATTTGGAGTTAGCTTGAACTCAATTTACTTTATAGAAATAGTGTTATCTGTTTGGGAATAAAAAGGCTTTCTCCCATAAAGTTTGGAAAATTACAGTGGAAACCAT